TTTAGCACAAACTCTCCTTGGTTTATCTAAATCATGCCCACTTACATACACATAGTCCTTAGATAATCTCAACTCAGCCATCCAACACCACTGTCCTTTCTGCTTCTACATGGAATTCTGAGATGTACAACCTTTTTCTCACCTGACTCAGAGCTTGTCTGGCCTTAATTTATACACAACCTAGATTTCCATAGAGGGATGGATCTACTTAAAGCACAAGGCTATTTTCCCCTATCAGTCAATGGCAATGCTGTGTTACTAATACATTGTTTTTGATCCACCTATGACCCCAGGGACATCAATATTCAGAGCATGAAAGGATGAAGCTTTTATTATAAGTAATTGTTATACTTTCATTGAAAACTTCGTTTGAAATTTGATGTACTAAATATCCATAAGCTATGACTTGTACTTGGCTTGATGTTTTTCACAGGAAGTAAGATAACTTGGCTTTAAATGGAGACTGCACACATCATCAATAATGTTCTCAGAGTAGGATTCACCAATTCAGTAAGGCTTAACATCCAAAGGCAAAAGTGTAACTCAAATCTGTGATGGGCATACCTTCTAAATACACAAAGCGGCAATATCAAATCACCTGGGTTAAGCAATGTCAATATCTCATGTTTCATACAGGTCAGGTTTTGCTCATCATCTATTCCAAGAAATATTTATTAAAAATTTATGTTTTACAGTTGGGGAATCAGATTTATATATACCAGTAGACAAGTCCTAGGTCATAGAATTTATAAAAGATGAACCCAGGATTCAAGGGTGCTAGACAATAACAAATAATAAGACTGATATTAACAAAATCATGTAATTCAGATCCAAAAAAATCAAATCTGCTGTTAATGTTGTTGCTATTTTCCTTGATTTTATTGTAAAGATACAAATAAACCCATAAAATATAAAAATAAAATATAAGGCAACCTCTTCAGGTCCTCTTCAACTGTGGGAGCTTTTCTGTCCTCTCTAGAAATCCTACATTCTCATTTTAAATAAATAAATAAATAAACAAACAAACAAAATACAACTACATTACACAGATGCAAAACTGTTGATGCTCATAATACAGCAGCACTTTTGTCAAATTTAGTTATTCACCAATTCAGTAAGGCTTAACATTCAAAGGCAAAAGTGTAACAAATCTGTGATGGGCATATGTTCTAAATACACAAAGTGGCAATGTCAAATCACCTGGATTAAGCAATGTCAATATCTCATATTTTGTACAGGTCAGGTTTTGCTTATCATCTATTCCAAGAAATATTTGTAAAAAATTTGTGTTTTACAGCTGGGGAATCAGATTTATGTATACCAGTAGACAAGTCCTAGGAAAAAATAAACTATTTTAAACTGGTCTATTGAACTACAGACAAGTAATTCTGGGATTACATTACTTCATTTCTCAATGTATTCTTAAACATCTCTTTAAAAACATTTATTTGCATTCTTCTTGTACTCCTAAATTATTCTCTGTTTTTTTTAAATCACAGCTTTTTTTAAACATGTATGAGAATATATTGAAATTCTAGGAGTCTAAAAAATATTCCTGAAAATTAAACATCTTTGGCATCCAAAGTGACAAACTTGTGTAGTTCTGGCCTATTTCTAAGGAAATATATTTAGACAAAGAAGGCAACTGGCCACACCCCTAAGTAGTAAACTCTAGACACTGATATAAGTGAAGCCAACACAGCCAGCCTGGAAGTTGTTTTCTTTACACAAAGAGGGGAACCGACATGATGCTGATTAGAGAGGATATAAATCCAGCCTTCTTGGAGGGGGGTCATCAGGTCATCATTTTTACCTTCTGTAAGTAGATTATGGTAATCACTTAATATTTCATAATTTGCTTCTGAAGTTTGAATTCCAGAAAATCCACAATTATAGCACTCTTTGTATGTTTTACAAACAAAATTATCTCTATTATCCATTCTACAATCTGAAGAACTAAAACAAGCAGCTGACACAGCCATCAGGTTAAGCTCTTGTATTAACCTGTCAATTCTGTCAAAAAATGATTTGACTGCTATTAATTTATTTTTGATAGAACCAATTGTTTGATCATTTTAATATACTGAAGAAGAGATTTGCAGTTTTAATATTAAACTTTGGCAACAGGGATCAGAAAACTACAAAATGGAATATTATAGGCATTGTTCTAAATGTTCTATAATTATTCAGCGAACTATTGGTGAGAGAAAAGGATATATTTGTGCCTTCTACCAACATTGCAAAAGAGATCATTGCAGTTTAAAGCTGTCATGATTTTATCACCATTCTAAATAAGAGACTATGGAAACAAAAAAATATATAATTCAAAATTCTGTAGCTTTCTGAAACCATATTAAAGAAGGAAAAAATTCATTTTTCAAGATGATAAATTTTCTTACTCCTATAGTGATCAATTTTGAATTTTTAGGCTTCCTTTTAATGACATTGCAGGTATTTTATTAGCAAGATTATTTAGTTCTTTGTTTTTAATTTGACAAAACTTGGTATCCATGGTCAAGTTTTTAGGAATTATTTCAGATAATCCTTTTCTGTAGGTTTACAAAACTTTTAATTGGTGGCAAGTTATCAGTTTTATAATGTGAAATATGGATAGTACTTTTAAACAAGTAAATGATTTAATATTATCACATCTTACAGAAATAGAATTACCTACTATAAATCTTATGTAAATGATCTTTCCATTAAATAGTCTGAATACTATAACATGATGACCAGGCAACTTGAGCCATGAAAACTGATCAATTTTATACACTAATTTTACCTAAAACTAAGAATAAGAATATCACCTATCCCTACTGAAAAGTTGAAAGCTAATAATATCAAATTTCAAAAACTATTTAACCACAGTAGAAATTTAATAATAAGAAAGTGTATTTCCTGACCTTAAAAGTCATGCAAATTGTTGAAATTATTCTCTAAATACATATAAATCTGTCTTGCATAATTTAAGCATTTGACTAGTTGAAATTGTTATGCTTTATTGCAAAATATGTTCACCTTATCAAAATAAAAAGCCTAGCATCTGCTATCAAATATCCCATTAAATTGATACTTAAATACACAGCTGAAGTAAGTGGGAGCAACACACATGTTCATAACTGGATAAATGGGCAAATGTGAAGTACACATGCAATGAAATATTCACCCTTATGAAGGAAATTCTGACACATGATATTTCACTGATGTACCTTGAAGACATTATGATAAGTGAAGTAAACCAACCATACTCACACACACTACTGCATGATTCCATTTATATGAGGTTCCTAGAGTGGTCAGATTTAAAGAGACAGAAAATAGAAATGTGGTTGCTAGGTCCTGGGCAGAGGGAGAATAGGAAGTTATTGTTCAATGAGTACACAGTTCTGTTTGGAGAGATGTAAAGAGATTCATAAATAGATATTGTTGATGACTGTACCACAACATGAATGTACTTAATGCCACTGTACTGGCTGTACAATTTAAAATAGTTAATATGGTAAAAAAAAATTTAACTTGACCAACACACTATAGCTACTTAACTACTGATAACTTTTTTTTAATATTTAAAATTTGGTCAATCTTCAACAATTGAAGGTTGAAAACAATAGAAAAACAGAATTTCTTAAGTCAAAGAAATGAGTTAGGTAGATCTTGAGGTTCTTCAGGAAAGTGACGCTGAGGAATTTGATTAGAGATTCCATGTAGTTCCCATGTATAGAAAGTGAAAAGCTGTGTATATGACAAAGCTTTGGCAAATGCAGAATATATTTGGCAAGAAGGAAGCATGTATAATTTCATGTTGTCTAACATTTAAACAACCAAATAAAATTCTCAAGTATTGTGCTACTAAGTACAATTGTGATGCTCAAGTAATGCAGGTAGGGGTTGAGTGAGCCAGTTGCTCTGCCTTTCCCAGTCAAGATTGGCGTCTGAGTTTTGGATGGATATGTAAAGTGGGGGCAGAGGAAGTGCACATGGAAGAGATGGACTCCTGCCATGACACATTATTGAGTTTGACCATATTTCTGAGATTGATTTAGTATCCATATTTCTTCAACTATGGCTGTGTTTATTCAATAAGGTAGAATAGTTAGAGGTAGAATAGAAGAGTTCCAGCAGATCTAGGATGAAAATTCCCATAAAGATTCTGTTTCTTTGGAGTTAAAGAAGAAATTAATCTAGCTCTAGGGTTAGGCAAAGGATTTTCCTTTACTCAGTAAGAATTGTATTTGTATTTGTGAACTCGTGTGAAACAGTCTTATTACAACAAAATACCTTTGTGTAGTTAGTAAAAGTGTACATTTAGCATTTATACTCTCACATTGCAAGAACAAATCCAAGAACGTCATTACTGTTTTCCATGTATAACCGTCAACTCAAACTAAATACACTAACCACACCACATTCAGTTACGCTTCCATCTGCCAACTCAGTCATTCCAGTTTCTAGGTTTTCCAGTCAGAAAAACCTACTTGATTTGGATAGGTTTCAATAAATTTTGATTTTACAAACCTTTAACCCTCACTTTCAAATATATAGCTGTCATGCTATTAAATATATTTATGAAATTCAGCATCTAAGAACACTGACAGGCAACCCCCTCACATCTCCTCCCACTGTGGGAGCTTTTATGTCCTTTCAATAAATCCTTTTTTCTAAAAAAAAGAATATTGACTACATATGATATAAGGTAAGCACAAATGAAATGACAAATTATGTGAACCATTTCTTTCTCAATCACTTTTGTTGGTCTCAAATAAAGCAAAATCACACCTTGTTACTTGCAATTTAACAAGAACTTAGATTCACATACAAATTAATTCATACTCAACCTGAGAAGTATTTATCACGAAAGCTCTGCAAGTGAAAAAAACTTGAGTAATTTTATGCCTACATTAAAACAATTTGCAAATGGCAGATGAGGGATTTGAAGCAGGTTGTACCATTTTCGCACAAGTACTTTTCAGGAAATATGTACCTCAAATGGAGCCCTAGGAATGATTAAAACTCTCTTGTCTTTTTCTCTATTGGCAGTGTTACTCCTGTTTGAAATTATGGAAAATGGGAATACCACATCGTTTTTTATTCTCTTAGGACTTTTTAACCACACAAAAGCCCACCAATTTCTCTTCATGGTGGTTCTGACAATTGCTTTTGCCTCTCTGTTGGGCAATGCCCTCATACTTCTCCTGATTCACCAGGACCACCGGTTCCACACACCCATGTACTTCCTATTGAGCCAGCTCTCCCTCATGGACATGCTGCTGATTTCTACCACTGTGCCAAAAATGGCCACTGACTACTTAACTACAAGTAGGTTCATTTCCTCCACTGGTTGTGGGTTACAGATATTCTTCTTCCTCACTCTAGGTGGGGGCGAGAGCTTCCTCTTAGCAGCCATGTCCTATGACCGCTACGTGGCCATATGCCATCCACTACAATACTCCCTCCTCATGAACTGGCAGGTGTGCCTGAGAATGACATTGTCATCTTGGTTCCTGGGTGCAGCTGATGGGCTCATGCAGGCAGTTGCTACCCTGAGCTTCCCATATTGCAGTGCACACGAGATTGATCATTTCTTCTGCGAGGCCCCCATGCTTGTGCGTTTGGCTTGTGCTGACACTTCTGTCTTCGAGTACACCATGTACATTTGCTGTGTGTTGATGCTCCTCATCCCCCTTTCCCTCATCCTGGTCTCCTACAGTCTCATCCTCGCTGCTGTTCTCCACATGCATTCTGTAGAAGTCCACAGGAAGGTCTTTGGCACCTGCTCTTCACATTTGGCCGTGGTGGGACTCTTTTATGGAGCTGCCATTTTTACCTACATGAGACCCAAGTCCTACAGGTCAGTTAACCACGACAAGATTGTGTCAGCCTTCTACACTATCTTCACCCCTGGACTAAACCCCCTCATCTACAGTCTGAGGAACAGTGAGGTCAAGGGAGCCCTGAGAAGGTGGCTTGGTCAGTGTGTGACCTTAAATCATGAGCAATAGTATTTATACTTGCCCTAATATTCAAGGCAATACAATGCGATTATGGGGATTTTCTAGACACATATACAGTTTTATATCTGCATGTATTGTGTGTGTATTCCACACTTTGGGTTAATTAATTGAACGGTCACTGCCAAATCTAATTGGGGATTGTTACGAATCTGTCGATCACAAATCCTTAGTAACGTGTTTCTACGCTACACCCCACAATACATTTTTGTTCAAAGAATGAATGAACTGTTCAAGCAATTTTGAGGATTAATTGTTGCCATATTTTTTTTCAAATTGAAGTCTAGTTCCTTTCAACTCATTTCAACATGTACTTGTGCTGGTCACTCACTCATCAAGAGACACAACTTCCACCACCTCAGCAAGGTCCCACATGCCCTCTTCCAGTGATACCCCCTACACTTACCGCTCTGATTCTTTAGTTTAGGATATGGTAGAATTTCACATAAGTGGAAACCAACAGTAAGGTCTTTGGTGTTTTACTTTGTTCTTACAGGTTAATATGTTTTTAAAAATCTTTCCATATTTTCATTCATCAATTGTTTGCTCTTTTTTACTGCTAAGTAGTATTGAATTTTCTAAATATATTGGTTCTTTTATCCATTTTTTTATGGACATTTGGGTTATTTTCAGTTTGAAGTTGTTATGATTAAAACTGTTAATAACCTTTTTTTGTGATCATATGTTTTTATTTTTTCTAGTTAGATGGCTGGTGAACTTTTTGGTAAACTGCTTTCAAAATGGTTGCTCAATTTGACACTCCCACCAGCAACTCATACGGGTTCCAGTTACTCTAAATATTATCAATCTTTTTTCATCTGAGTTATTCTTGTGAGTGTAATAATAACTCATTCTGCTTTTAATTTTCATTTTCGTGATGATTAATGATGTTGAGTACTTTAGCATTAGCTTATTGCCTGTTGCCTATTCATGTGTCCTTTTGTGAACTATCTATTTCAATTTTTGATTTAGTAAAATAAATATCTGTAGATGCTTCCAGAGTAAACACAACTTAGTGGTTAATTAATAGACAGTACATGATATTCTTAGGGCTATCTGTAATTTTGTAAATAAAATTATATTATTGGCTGTTTGTTACTGTTATATATTTCCTAACATATCCATTGTCAGTCAATGCCTGACACTTAGCTATTTTATTCAAATGAGATATTTGTGCAATACATGTATTCCATTTCCTCCATTTTTTAAAGATACAAACCTATTTTTTTGCTTTAATTATGCATTGTAACAAAATATTCCATTCCATTGGCCAAACTATGCCACTAAAAATCTGAAACTTGTTTCCTAGGAGGTACTTTTTGCTGAGATATATGATGCCAGATAAAGCAGGATAAAAATAGGGTTTCTTCCAATCATGGTTCAAGTGATATTTATATTTGGGTGATGTAGGAAAGTTGAAGATCACCTTCAAGCCCCCTTTAGGTCTTGGGGGGCTCTTTGGTTGCATCTAGAAATCAAATTGACATCACAAAGATTAGTTTTAGAAAAGCATGCAAATTCATAAGTTTTACATGTACATGACAACCTTCACAAGAGAGTGAAGTCCAAAAAAGTGGCCAAAACCTTCAGACTAAGCACAGTAAGTTTGTGAAGAAATGACAAGATAAAGGGGATCTAAGAGCACTAAGTTTCTAGACAAGTCGCTAGGAGACATATGAAGGGCATAAACCCAGTGAAAGATGAGGGTTTCTTTGGGAAGTATATTATTCAAGTCCACTGCAGTCCCCAATTTTCAGGCTCTGGTGTAACGGCTATTTTCTCACCGTGGTATGGAGAGGATATCCCTCTTAGAAGAATCTATATGCATGAAGGAACAGACAGTCAGATAGGCCTTTCTCAAACTACAATTTCCCCAAAGTTTCCAACTTAAAATAATCAATATTCCAATTTGGAATATTTTGGCATGGCATGCCCTTTTCTCACTTAATGGCAAATGATTATATATGTGCACAAGGTACCCTTGACATAAGTGACCTCATCTTAGGAAAATACTCCATTTTGCATTTTTAAAAGATATTCAGATAACAAAGACAAGATGTTTCCCTAATCAACAGAGACAACACACAACTATATGAGGGCATAACCTTTCAATATCAGTCCTCACCAGATGACTCTAGAGTCATAAAATGATTAGGACTTTACCAGCTCAGGATTCCTGCCTTAATAGACCTTGTCTTGCCATCTCTCATGGTTAGCACCCAGCATCTGTCCCCAAAGACTCTATCCAAATCAGAGACTCTTCCTTACAAGTTGCTCCAGTCCACACCAACCCAGGACACTCTCCCTCTCCTTGTCCACATCACTCTTCTGGTACTAGTTCGCTAGCCCCTTTTCCTTCCCCTTTTCTCTCAACGTTAAATGTGACTCTGTTTGATATGGAAATTTTAATCAACAACATTTGTATATTGATTAAGTATCCTACTATAGATGATTTGGAATGTGGACTGACTTGTGGAGGGGCTTGAGCCTGTGTGCCACCACCCTGACTACCGAATGAATGGGTATGAATTGCTAAGGAGAATCTCCTCCTTGGGGACTCCCTGTAGCTCATGGTTTTTATTATTGAAATAACATCAATAAAAGCCTGGCCTGTGGAAAGACCCAAATGTGCACGGACCTGATTATGTCTGACCTTGCACCACTCACAAGGATACATATAATAATTCTAGGGCAAAAAATTTGGTACTTTGAATGAGACTGTTGATTTTTCAAAGTAAATAAATATTTATTACCATATCTATAAATTTAATAAATATGTGCTTATATGATCTTCTAAAACAAAACAATTTAATACAAAAATCAACAGTAAGACAATGGTTGAAAATTACATATTTAGAGATTTCCCTTCTACCCTTTTTTTGCTTTAATTTGAATCCCTAATTTCACAACTTTTTTTCTGTAGTAGCGTTCTAGTCAGGAATGTTTTCTTATCTCACACAAAATAAGGAGCAGAAGAGTCTAGAGCAGACACTTCCAGGGAACATGAGCCAGATCCAGGTTTGCAGGTCCCTGGGGTATTATGGAAACAGTACCTAACACTTATAGGAGAAAGGTTGGTGGAAGAATTTGTCCCAAATCTGGGTGTTGTGCTTCAGAATATATAATGGAACCCAGTAAATTTATTACATTTTAAACTTGGCCTATCCCCATAAATGTAAGCATAATTTGATCTTAGGGTGATTTCATTAAATATCCTGTTTCCATATTATCTCTAAGTCAAATGGATTGGTTTAAACCTCATCCTAATTTCTCATAAAATAACTATTAATAACAATAATCAATATAAAATACCTCTCATTCATTCAATGCTTACCTTGCAATTGCATTATGCTTAATATTTCACCTATAATTTTTCCTTTTAATTATTATCATAACATTAAGATCAGTGTTAATTCTCACTAAAAAGAAATATATACAACTCAATTTTCTTACTTTTTAAAACTTTCACTTAAGAAAAGACTAGGACCTGGCTCTG